GTTACAAATTCAACATTTGATGGCTAATATCATTATTAGAACAGAGTTAAATCTTAGTTTTACTAGATATGTCCCTTTGAAGAAGAGATTTCTGACATCTTTTAGTGAATGTTGAGGTATTAGGAAAACATGATTATGAATGACCCAATGTTAGAACAGTGTTAAAAGGAAAAAGACCTTATTGTTAGATAAGTATAGAAATGCTTGAATAGAGAGAGGAATGAAGTGAGTGACAGGAACAATCTCACGGATTACTGCTTTGGCACGAAGATTCTAGTATTCTGCAAGCTTGCCAAATAAATTGACCAGAGAAAAAGTCAACAGATTAACTTCAAGAATTAAGCTTATTAATTGATTTTCATGCAGAAATGAATCCACCCATTATGATAGGAAAATACTTCCTTTGCTTTCCCAGCTGCTAGCTTATATATTAAAATATTTCTACATAAACTATTGATGAGATGTAAACTTGTTTTTTAATGAATGTTCACTGACCTGAGACAATACGGTACTGTACCCCTTCGTTTTGGGCTGATTTACATTTGAGCCAGAATAAGTTGTTAGATCTAATTATGAACTGAAAATATTTGAATTGAGTTGTTCATCTTCACAGCCTTCTTTCTTGTTTTCTTTTATTTAGAGTAAAATTTCACTGTTCCATCCATAATTTAAGAACATGCAAGAAGGTAAATGGATCTAGGTAAATTATATATATTTTTTGTGTGAAAAGTATAATTATCGGAAGTTAGTTAAAAACACATCAATTCTGTTTTAATTTTTATGCATGGAGCAGTTGTTTTGACAGATGGATGGACTTTATTTTTGTAACCGTCCGGGAAAAGTCTGCGTAACACAGTCTAATCAGTGCTACATATTTGTAATGTTTGTTTTTGGATCACTGTGCTTTTGGCTCCTATATCTTCTTCTGGGGAAAGGCATTTTCTTTCTGATTTATTTTTCCAGGCTACTATCTCTATGTGTAATTCTTCTATCCATTTGATATGAAAGCATTAGAAATCCTTAAAAAATAAGTGTAAATAATTTGTCACTAAGTGTAAATAATTTGTCACTAAGGATTTGTCATTACTCCCCAGGTGTGGCCAGGGGGTTTACTCGTTTATAACTACATTTACTTTTATTTCAAGACTAAGTTAACAATGTATAATGCTATTGGTCTGGGCTACATTTCAGTAAAATCAGAGGTCAGTATGTTTGCCTGACTCTTGGAAAGCCAACCTGTTGCTAAACTTGTCTGTGTATATCAATTTAAATTCCAAAAAGGATCAAAGCTTGAAAACGAATTCATTTTGAACTGATTACATTCTCTTTATAACATTGTAAATCCACCAGTGCTGAGCAAAGCAGTGCAGTAGTTTAATGCCAAAAAGTACATTACATTCTGAGTTTTCAGAATCGTCATGGTTCAAGAAAAGGTCAGAAACACTCTTCTTCTGTCTCCCTAGAACAGAAATGTGTGAAGTGTGTTTCCTTTTTCTGCCACGCTTCCTCCTTTTTTAAATGGAATGTCCAGGCAGCTTCCAAATAAAATGAATATCCTGTTTTGGAACACTCAAAACCCTTGGCAGCTATGAGCTAGAGAATAAAAGCAAATGAATGACAAGATTGATACTCTTTTATGTAGGTTTTCTGTTTAAAGAACAAATCCTCACTAACAATGTCTCTTTCAAGTTTTTGGTCCTTTTCTGTCCAGTTCTTTTAATTCACTGTTTCCTCCCCCATTGTTGTTGATGAGTTTTCTTGCGGCTATTTTTAACCAATTTTGAAAGAATTTCATTCAGTTTCTATTTCATTTCAGTCTTAACATGCTTCTATGGACCCAAGAAATTTCTCTCCATTTTATTTGCATCAACCTTCACTTCAAAATAGTATTGAGCTAGCCCCTGGGCATGGCAACAGTATAACCTGCTGCCAACTGGGAGAGTTCAGTGGGGAAATGAAAGAGATCATTCCAGGCCTTAGGCCAAAAGGGTGGGTCTACTTGCTTTGTAGCACAGATAGACTCTGTTATCAGCATTCTCAATGGAATCACTTGCCAGATTTCACAGCTATAGTCCTGCAACAGATTTTTTTTTTTTTAGGAGCTCTGTAGAGAAATAGTTGTCATATTATTATACTTCTTCTTTGACAGTTAATAGAAAACAATTTTAAATTATGATATTTGATGGGGCCCAATTTCCTAGTTTTCAAGAACCTTGAGAATTTTTCAATCATTAATTTTTGCCAATCAGTTATTCAATTGATAAAAGATAATTTCTGTGATTTTAGATTCATAACAGTTTTGCATAGGTGACATAAACCCTCATTTATGTTCACAAATATCCTTGCTCATAAAATATTTCCTTTCTTCTATCTTTTATTGTGGGGAACTACCATCTATTCTCAAAGTTCTAGAATGCAGTCAGGTGTTACTAATGGGATTAAAGAAATTGGGTGTGCATTCAAAATTGCATGCATGGCAGACAAATTAAAATCCTGTTCTTTTCTAAAATGAACAAGACATCCATCTGGGACTACCAGTATTATTTATTAGAATATTCATTTGCTTACTAATATATACACAGCCAATTCCTTGATTTCAACATATGGTGATGAAACTGGTTATTCTAATCTTGAATGTTGAGTCCAGAATCAGGGACAGTTATCTTTATGTAAAAGCAGAGTATATGGCCACCTACATGTTTCAAAAAAAAGGACAACATTTTTCTGAAAATGACTTCTTTGCAAATGACTGAATTTTCTTAAAAGAACAAATAAATCCTTTGGGTAAGACTCATGAATGCCTCATTTGTAAATGAGTTTATCAGATGTTACCTCTTTCCTCTGCCCTAGCTTTCATGCCTTATCCTCTTGGGGAAAGAAGAGAAACTGTTACAGAATGGGAAGTTTGTTGCTAGGAGTCTTGGAAGTTAAGTTATATTGGTTTCACAGTTTTATCAAAGATTTACCTTATTCAAAGTGAAACATGAATGAAATCCATACACCCTTTAGCTAGAAAATTTTCTTCATAGCAACTTGAAAAATCAGTCGATTTCAGAGCTTAATTTTATATGTTATAATGCCTCACTAGACAAAACTAAGATTCAGGATCTAAGTAGTAAAATAGTAAGAGAAATTAGAAGTTTATTGCAGTTACTTACTCTCCTAAGCTACTCAGCATACATTAAGAAAGCTTGAGAAGTCATAACTTTGAAATTATATTTTACTTTAAATAGTTCTAATTTACTTTTATGACAATGTATTTATAGGACATACTTAGATCGCATTCTAGAAAAATCAATGATGATGGAAAACAATTATTAAATTTCAATATCAACAATCTTGCTCAAGTTTGGTTGTCTGTCTCCCTTTTTTTTTTTTTTGTTTCATTAGAGTAATAGAGTTAAGACCGAAATCATTAGCTGCAAACAGAATACAGATGTCATGTGGAAATATACTGAAATTATTTTAACACTTCAGTTATAACCTCCACCTGACTGCATAAGCCCCAGTGCATTCTGAGCTTTCATTTGATAAGTCATATGTGATAGTGACTTTGGAGTGTTACACACTTAGAGGTGCCAGGACCAACCCAATCCTGTATTATGCTTGCTAGCCTTGCTTGCACTATAGTCTGCTTTTGATATTTATCTGCATTTTTAGTTAGATGTTTGATCTTAATTCCAAATGTTTATAGACAGAAACAAAAAATAAAATCTATAATCAACAATTTTCAGTGCAGTTTTATTTAGCATATAAATACTCTTAGATCTTTTCAAAATGGGTATTATGTATTCCATGATGAACTCATATTTTCTAATTTTTAAATTTTTTAAATTTTCATGTTAATAAACTAACATTTTAATTAAAGCTATTTTGAGAGTTTTTCTTTTATAATATTGATATAAATTCATCTATTTAAAATATTTTACAAAAATTGAATCTTTCTTACTCTCTTTTTTTTGGGGGGGGGGCAATAAAATTATCCATACTATATTCTGAATATCTAACTATTTTTCAAAAAATCTTTCCTCAACAGTGACAAAAGGCAGAGATTTCTGTTTGTTCATAGAAAAACATTTTCTTTCACAGGATCTACAGGCATACTAGAATATATAGGAAGAATATAAATAGCTCTGTTTATTTTTTTCACAGGTGATATTTTATTCAGAAAATAAAGTGGCAGAAATGTCTGAACTTCTATAAATAATAATAAGACATATGATTAGAATTTACTGTTATCACTAATTGTTCTTTACCTGGAGGATTCATGGCTCATTAGGCATTGGAGTCCATGTGTGGGTTTAGGATATCCTGAAAGTATATATTAATTATAGCCACTTTTCAAAAGATCCCTTAGCCTACAGACATTCCAAACTCTAGCATCTTCTTTATCTAGTCAAAAAATACCCAAATTGTCTTTGAAGCTGAA